GGGGGGGGTAGGAGGGACACCCGTGGGGAGGTCGGGGGGTTGGGGGGGGGGGGGGGCGGGGTAGGGCAGCCATCAGGGGTCTGGGGGTGCAAGCAGGGGTGGGGCAGCCATTGGGGTGGCTGTAGGAGCTGGGGCCAGGCAAGGTAGCAATTCAGGGGGCTGAGGGAGCAAGTGTGGGTGGGGCATGTGGGCCCTGCAGGGGGCCCTGTGGACCCTGCTGGGGGAATTGTAGTTCCTGCGGGGGGCAGGTAAACATATAAGTATTTAGAATTCATTTCATTATGATGATAGAGACACTGGTAGGCTTCCAAACTGCTTTAACACTGTAGATATATCAATAAAATATTACCCAACTGATTGCTGTCTCTGTCTCTCACTCTCTCTCTATAGTGGTCTTTTGTTCTAATTGTGGAGGAATATGGATTTCGGGGTATTTTACACAGTGACTTCAGGATTTTTTTTATCAGGAATTTTTCAGTTTTCAAATAGGGAACACCAGAATTCCTGCTAGGGAGGCAAGTGGAAGGACCCAGGCAGAGGAGCCTGTTCAGAGCTGGCACCTTGGACCCAGCTGAAGGTGGCTGACCTCCTGGCCAGTTGGGGCCAGAAGGACATGCTTTGACAGTTCAAAGCAGGCTACCACACCCAGAACATCTTCTGGGTGATAGCTACCCAGATGGCCAGGCAGGGGGCACACACGGCAGTAGTGCCACACAAAGGCCAACTCTGTAGCCACAGCCCGCTGGAAGCTGGCCCAGAGGGGCATATGCCTCTACTGGCTGTGCAGTCCCCACCCAGGTTTGGCAGGTGTGCAGCAGGTCACAGCCAGGCAGCAGCCCCCACTGCCACAGTTCTGCAGTGGGTAAAGGGTGCAGGAAACTCTCAGGGCTGTTTCAGCAGTCCAGCTGGCACAAGGGGTAGTGTCCCCAAGTACCAATTGGCTGGGCCCCAGAAGCTCCTGAGAGTGAGCAGACCTGAGCTACTTGACAGGGCAGCTTTTTATACTGCTGGGGACAGCACAGGTGCTGGCCCCAGGCTCTAGCTCCCCCTGGCTGCAGGTCCTGGAGGAGCCAGACAGAGTTATTTTGCCCCAAGTGGCACAATTTGCCCCACACCAAAGTGCATGTCCGGACACGTGCGCTGAGGCAAAAAGGCCCAGCTCAAATTTGCACCTCTTCTATTTGAGCTGCTGCAACTGTGCATGCTTGCATGTGTGGACGTGCCCTATGAGTACATACATGCTGACTCTTGATGAAATGGGGCACATAACTAAGTAGCTCCTTAAAAAGTTAGATTTACATACCTAGCAATGCTTCCCTCAGAAATCAGGATAAAATTAAACATATTATATAAACTGCAGGACATGTTAAAAATGCCAGCGCAGTAACCTGTATGCCTGTCTTACATGTGTAAGATAATGTACTTGGCCTAACAAAATAATTAATAAAATGAAAAATATTAAAACCAACAGTTGAAAAAGATTTTTTTGTTTGAAGTAAAATATATTTTTTCCATTGAACATAATATTATATTAAAAAGGTGCAGGTATGAAGTACCTGTAGTCTAATAGCCCTATGGATGAGCTCACATGAATTGTCAATGACAGTATGATTTAGTTGGCTGAATGAATCATGAAACAAAACTTCAAAGGAGAAATCTTCCACTGAAATTTACTTTTTTACATTTAGGGTAACAAGGAATAACAGTAAAAAAACCTCCACCAGATTACAGTACCCTTTCTAAAGAAATGTTTAAGTCCAAACCCTTTTTAAAACTCTGTAACATGCTTGGTTTCAAATATCCCCTCATGCCATCATCACCCAAGTTATTATTTTTAATACTTTTCAAGTTGAATGGCTTCTAAGAATTGTAACTTTCACACTACTTATTTAAATTTTGATTTGCTATCTTAAGACTTCACAATATTTTCTCTTTTATTCAGTCTTTTACCTTGCAGCTTCACTTGGCTCATCAGTGGCATTCTTCAATAAAATATTTATGAGGTAACACTAAAACAATAAAATTCATGAGAATAAGCACTTTTTCAAAAATACTTTTGTATTAATTCAAGTGTATCAGATATTTCATTTTGACAGGGTCACAAGTGAAATAAATTGGGAAGTGTCAGTGTATTACCATTGGATGTTTGCTTCTAATATATTTTCCAAGAGAACAACTTATTGGGTGTAAATAAGCCAAAATTTACAAACTTTCATGGCTTAATGGGGAACCTAAAATTACAAACAGGCAAAAAAATCTACTGGTAGCTGATTTTCAGTTGCTAAACACTTGTTATTCCAGTTTGCTAGAAGTGCTCAGTATCTCTTAAAAGTCAAAGTAATTTTAAATGTCTACTATGGTCTTAAGTGTATATGCTTTGGGCAGCAACATTTGAAAATATTGGTGTACTTTAGTTCAAAAAACAGACAAGCCCAGAATCTGTCTTGTTTTAATGTATTTTTGACAAATCTCTCAGACTGATTCACATGTAGTTGAGGACACTAGATCACAACCATGGAATGAATAGGGTTGTAAGTTCTCATTTCTTCTTTTTCCACTTTCTAACATTCTATGTGGCATTTGAAGGGAATCCTACATCCTTATACAAATTCCACGGTGAATTACTGTGATCTCTCATGATTACCGAAGAGAAAATTGCTATCAGAATCATGATGACCATTAGGGCTGACTTTAATTTCAGTTAACAATAGTTTAATATTTTTTAAAGATGATTATTAAGGCCCACGAATTACAAAGCCCAACATCCACAACCAACACCCTTAAAACCTTACATCCACATTTAGAGCGATTATTGTTTCATGGAGTCTCAATGAAATTACTGCTCTGGGAAAAACATATTTTGAACTAAATTCATGCCTCTCTCCTGCATAAAGGCTATTTTTTAAACATTTTAATATTATATAAAAAGGTAAAAATAAGTAAAAATGAATTGCCCTAGTCTCTTGCAAGTATACATTGCCACAGATGTACGTGCATACCAGGAATAAATAACGTTATACATCAATGCCACTTCTTAAAGTGAACTGACAGATGCCTGGCAGAAGAGTAGAAAACTAGATTTTAGCCAGCTCTCTCTCTCAAAATAAGAAGTGACATAAAAAGTTAAAAGTATTTGCACCATATGTTTAGTTCATTGCTAATATAGAGTTATAAATTAGCAAGTTAACACTCATCAACTTGCAGGGTTTTTTAGTGCATGGTAAAAATAATCAAATTATTTAACTGAATGTAAAACTTCACTGGGTTAGGTAAGGATTTATTAATACAAAGTTACTTTACTTTGACATCTGCAGTTCCTGCGATGAGACCACCAGTTTTCAGGATGGGTTGTAGCAGTGGGATTTCTTGGTAGATATTTGGAAAGCAAACAAGAGAACCAAGAATAGTATGAGCTTCTGAACGAGGGGCCTAAAGAGAAAATAGGTACAAACAAACGTTTTTTCATAAAGCTATAAAAACGACAAATTGTATGATATTGGTATCACATCATATTATCAGTGATATGCTAAACATTCTTCATGCCTTGTATTGGACTTCTTTTCTGTTCATTTTTCTTGTTGAATTTGTACATAGAATAAAACTCCTCTATCAGCACTAACCAGGCACCACCTCTGCGTACACAGCATAGTGATTTGATTACTTTACAATACATTTTCTATCTTGTTTGTTCTGTTTCTACATTCCTTGGGGTCCACTGTTTGACAAGAACAACAGGCAGGCACCTGCCTCTTGAGCTGATAAAATATAGCTCTGACTGATAGCAGTGACCAGTCTTGGAAAACAGGCCACTACGTGTTAAGACCAGTGTTAAATTTTCACTTATCCTTGTCTATGTGTTTGTGTGCAATATATTATGATTATGATAACTCTCTTAGATAGTTCTGTAGTTTCACAGTTTTGTTATTCATGTTTCTTGAGAACAATTTAAAATACTTACAATAATCAGGAACTACAAACAGAATGCTATATGCTTTCTGAGCTGACATCGGGAGAATTTCAATTTCTGCTACCTTGAATTATTTCTCTCACTGAAAGCCTCAGATCTATATTGTATATTCAACCAAGTGATGCAGAAGGGTCTGAAATGCTAGATGTTTTTGTGCAGTATCATAGTAATTTTACATAAACAATGCTGTATGTACCACAAATAAAATACTTAGCTTCATTCTATTAACCCCAAAATGTAAGCCTCCTTTTAAAAATGGACACTAACTTATTAATTTAAAATAAAATCCTTAAGATTTGGGGAACTCAGTTTTTACACATGAATGCCTAAATAGGATGTCTGACGCCCACATTTAGATGTTAAACTCAAAATTTGGCATTTCTTAATATTTGTATGCACTTAAGTCCTGATTTGGGCATCTAATTCTAGAGCTTGAACCATTTATTCAGCTGCCAATGTCTGAAAAAAGGAAATTGCTTACTGGTAACTGAGTTCTCTAATGTGCTTTCAAACACAGTCATTCTCACATGTTGGTGGGCTTAGCCCCTGAGCCTTTTGTCTGGAAACTACTTTTTGCCACCTTCATGTACCCAGAGGATAAAGGATGGAAAGCATTTTAGCTTTTCAGTTTCCTTTCAATGGGAGAGTCCTAGAGGGGCAGACTCTGATGCAGGACAGTAGAATTTCAATGTGCATGTGCACACGTGTATATGTAGATAACACATCTCAAAAAACTTCAGTTAGTGGTAATTTCCTTTTCTCCTTTTGAGTCCATGCACACATTCTCACATGTGGGTGGCTCCAGAAGCTGTGCCCATAACATATGGAGAGGGAGATTCAGCATCTCTTCAGGCAGAGATTGACAGGAGCACCATCCTGCCAAAAGTGCTGTCATTCCAGCAGGCCTCCACAACAGCAACCAAAAAAACTTTGCACTTTTTTAGCACAGTGAAAAGAATTATTGAACTAAAAAAAAGGCTTTACTGGGTTAGGTAAAAATTTATTAATACAGTGTTACTTCACTTTGACATCTTCAGTTCCTGTGATGATACCATCAGCTTTTGCAATAGATTGCAGTACTGGGATTTCTTAGTGGATATCTGGAAACTTTAGCAAAGGTGTGAAGTGAATTGCAGTCACTGGTCTATACAAATGTCTAACATAAGACCCTGAAGGACGAGGCACTGCAAGGTGCCTGTACTCTGCTGGAGTGTCTGGGGATCACAGACGGTCCTTTGCAAGTTCATGAGAGTCTGATATGACTGGAAATCCAACTGGAGAGTCTTTGACATGAAACAGCTGATGCCCTGGACCCTTCCACTTTGACTGAAAATTGATGTGGGGACCTGCTAAAAGGTTTGCAATCCTGTGCAGGTAGCAGGCCAGAGATCTTTTCACATCCAAAGTGTGAAGGGTTGCCTCTGGCTCTGAATCATGCACCTTTGGGAAAAAAGGCTGGTAATGAAATTTGCTGGCTAAGCTGAAACTCAGAAACTGGGTGAGTATGAAGAATCACCTTGTCCAACTATAAGATGGTATTATGGGACGTCTGCCATTAGAGCTTGGTTCAAAGTAAATTGCTTGGCAGAAATGATTACCACCAGGAGGACTGTCGAACAGACTGCCATTCACTTAAACAGTGATCGTGTATGTACTATAAGGGCCAGATTCATATCCCATTCAGGAACTGGGTCTTTGACACATGAGAGGCCCTTTGACAATGCTTTTAGAAACTCAATGTGACAGAGTGGGAGAAACATGTCAGCTTTCCATCGTGGGGGTGATGGCGATAAGTTCACCATCCAGGGAACCTTATTGCTGCTTCCAATACCAGCAATAATGTAGCTGGGTGCAAATACTGAAACTTCACTTCCTACAGCAGGACTATATACCTCTTGTCAATACGCTTCTCAAGTGACAGGTATAAGGTAGGAGAGTTCCAAATGACATGGGCCAGTAGAAGAATGGCTTAAACTGGCAGTATTACTTTCAAAGGGCTGGGTTAGCATAGAATGACAGTCACTGAGTGCATTGAAATTTCAGTTATTTCTTTTTAAAAGAGTTTGAAGTCTGGGCAAGGGACCTAAGGAGGTTCGGGAAACCTTTGACTTCATCTGCCAAAGGGTCAGATGGAGGCATGGTTTCTGGAGAAGGGAGTAGCTTTCTCACCTTTTCTTGCAAGGATGAGTGTTCCAGATTAACAAGACGGAGGCAAGTAGGATCTGTATATCCCTTGAGGAAGAAGCACACAACCTCAAACAACAGGAACACTGGATTAGTTTCATGCGTAAAGGCTTAATTCAAAGCCACATGTGCCAGAGGAATACAGTGGCCAGCTCTGAACAGACAGTGGCAATATGGCACTGGAAACAACTGTTCACACAATGATTAATTCAATAAGACCCTCAGCAACAGGAATGTTGGAATGGGTCAGGGTCAGTATCAGAACAAGATACTGTACTGAAGGGCAGTGCCAATGGACTTGGAGGATAAGTAGGGTGAATAAAAATCAATGATTTAAAAAAAAATCTATTTTTTTAATTTAAATCAGATTGTTTTGATTTTATTTAAATTAGAATTAAGTCTTCCTTTTTAAAATCAACCATCTTAAAATGAAATTTGAATTTAATAAAACATAGTCTAAAGAATAAATTTAGGATAATCTATTAAAATAATTTAAATAAAATAATCTATTGGGTCAATGAGCCTCTACTAAAAACTCTGGAGTTAAGGCTAATTTTCTTCTATAAAAGAATGAGAGGAAAAACCATCTAACTTTTGAGGTCAAGCTTTAAAAATATGGCACAATATTTCACATATCAGAGCCTTGGCCCTGCAAGGGATGCAGGGTTTCTACTACTGGATGCAAAGGATCAGCAAAGTCCACACAGGTATTGGAACCTGGCCTCTGACTCCAGCAGACATCATCATCCCTACTCATTGATCAGGATTATCCACTGAACTCACCTGGATGGTATCAGACTCCTGTTTTATTCTCTCTACTTGAGCTCTGATTAGTTCAAATAATAAATTATGAATATTTATGATTCTAAATTCATAATGGAGGCTTATTCTTCAGCCCAGCTCATGGAAAAACAACCATCTGCTCAGTAACTACCAACTCCCTGCTTCTGAATGATTCTGGGCACTTCAGTTCAATGGCCTTTTTTGGTCCTTTTGCATATATACAGATATGTAAACATTAACTTCTCAAGTGGTCTACTCTCTCTCTAAACTACAATTCTGCAGCACACAAGGCAACAGCAGAAATTGTGGATTGTCAGGGGGAAGGGTTTTGTTTTTTGGGGGTGAGTTACAGTTACAGTCTTGGTTTGTTGTTAGTTTCTTGTGTGAAGGAGGGAGAGAGAGCAGAGTAAGAAGCAAGGTGCTCAATAGAAAGACCAACACTGGGCTCCCTTCAGTATGGGAAAAGGAACAACTTTCTGTGAAGAAAAGACCAGTCTCGATTTCAAGAGCTGGAAACTAGAGGAAAAATCTGCCATAGGTGCAGAAATTTTGAACGTCCATCATTTGTAATGTCTACAACTTCAGAATCATCTACTGGTACCACCAGTAGTACTGCAACTAAATACACCTCAGACAGTGAATTCCCTGTATCCAAAAAGAGACTTCTTTATTATCAAGTAAAACTATGGATGACTTAATAATCAGGACCAGGAAAGTCCAGCAAGACAGCATAGACAAAAAGATTGTGCAGTTCATTTATGCAAGAGATTCTCTCTTTTGCCTTGTTCAGAACAAACTTTTCACTGACATGGTTCAATCATTATGACCAGGTTACACTCCACCCAGCAGAACAGCTATTGCTGGAAAGCTTTTGGATACAGGACAGGACCTGCCGCTGATCAAACCCATGCTGGTTGCCCCCAGGGCCAGCAGGGAACTGCACGCTCAGGGGCAACCAGCATGGGTT